TTTAGGCCACTTTTTCTAATCAGTCTGTATGTGTACACTTCAGAAAATTCTGGTAAAATTCAGTTTGGCTATGCTAAATCACATCAGAGAGAAATGCCCTAAGAAATTCTTACCTAGATAGCTCAAAGACTTAGCCACAAAATGATTTTAGCAGGTAGTCATTTAATTTGAACAGCTTACTAACGCCAGGGCTGACAGAGACACATTTATTTTAACATTATATCCTACATCGTGATCTGAATTTTATCTCAATTTTCCTTTCACAATCACAGTGTATATGACTAGGTGATTTTTTATTCATAAAATTTTTCAGCATTGAAGTTGCTAAATAAATACTAGGATTGAAAATTTAAGTGTAAAATGATTATGAAATTTGCAATTATAATGCTGCTGGCAACCCTGACTTAACTGCAAACATCCAGTGAGCTTAAGGAGAAAAATGAATTCAGATAAAGAATTAAACTGCACAGGAAATAGCGAAATGTTGGTATTAAATCTTCAATCACATCTTCATTGAGCAAGCCCTTAATACTCAGTCATAAAAGTTTATTTTTTTCTTTCATTAGAAAACAAAGAGGCTAATCTTTAAATATGTGTTCAGTTTAAGAATATTGCAAATTAGTGCTCAGTTTTTGATTGCCTTTCATAAACAAAGTAGTTAAATAGCTAATTTCAACTGTCTTCAAACATCTTTCAATTGCCAATATATTCAAGCTGTCCAAAATCTGGCTTCAGGCCAGAGCAAGATAAAAATACCGTCTTTGTTCCTCTAGTCAATCATTTCCTTACTTCAAGCAGGTTTTACAAGGGTATCTGAAAAGTCTACATATTTTAATAGGAACACTACAAATATGCTCAAGTCTTTTCTCATATGGAGCAAAAAGATTGTTATGAATAACTATTCCTTATCTCCAGGATGCCTGATGTGAAAGGGGTGCTGCAGGATTCAGTTCTTTGTCTCTTCACATGTATGCAACCTAGAGTGAGATCTGAAAAAATGACTTCTGTGACTACAATGGGTTATAGACATCAAAATCTAAAACTGCAACCTGAAAATCTCCACTTAGCCTAATCACAAAGCATTATATGGCTCATGAAAGACTTTGATGTACATGGCCTAAATTCAGAGTCAGGCAGTGGCAAATTAGGTTACTGGCAACTAGGCAATGTACGCTGATTACCTGAATACACACTTGTACTTACCAGCATACTGAGCCGGTTACACATTACACCTTTCACAGGCATACTATATCCACTCCAAAATTTAAACATGGCTGATGTCTTTCCCCTCAGCTGAGTGTGTAATGTGACCATATCCAGACGGCAAAACGCTGCAGCAAAAAGTAGCAAAACTCAGCCAGCTAACAGTTAGCAAGTAGGGAAGAAAACTCAAGTCACCAGTAAAAGGAGAGAGTGTACTCACGTCAGCAGGTGGAGTAGCGGGAACATTCCCACTTATGCTTTTCTCTTTGACCTGAGAAAGGGCTTTTCTCTGCATGCCTGAGTATGAGGACAGTCGTGAACACGTCAATTCCCTAACTTCTCAAAGGAGAAAGGTAACCTAAGGTGGAGACAGCTGTCCATTTCAGAAAACATTTGATCAAAGGAAGTGAGGGAAAGGTTAAGGCCCATGGTCTATCATCATCAGTTCAGGACAAGCGAATCCAATAGGAGTGATCCATTTACTTCCAGGATTCTTGTCATGGTGTCCAGCTTTGGGTTCCTTCTGTACTTTTATAGACTTAGTGCTGTCTGCTAATTTTCTTGGAATAGTGCTACTGTCCAGATCCTAAAATTAGCATTTGAGGCATCCCAAACTCAGAAATTACTTAGAAGTACTGGGCTGTTGGTTTTCTAAACTTTTTTTGTTTGAATTCTTCGGGATAACATGTCAGGAAAGTGAGGAGAACGAGCTCAGTGGATGAATCAAACAGTGACTTCATTCTCAGTGAGATAAATCACACACTTCAAAAGAGAAGTCCTGAGACACAGTAATCATCTTTGTATCTGGTGATGACCAACCCCTCTGAACAGGAATTGCTTTTTAAGTAGTTGTTTCCTTACCATATGCTCCGTTGGGAGGTTTTAATTCCCCACAGATGCAAACTCCTGCACAGAAAAACAGTTATTCCGGGAAGGAGTGGGAGTACTTGCCAAGATAAAGTCAAAGTCAGTGCCCTCAAGTTACTCTGCGATGGCTCTCTCTAGAAAAAGCTGAGCACTTGAGTGTAATGAAGTGCAGTTTGTGTAGTCTAAATGGCACCACACAAAAGATATATCCAAGATCCATCAGACATATGTGGTAAAAGTGTGCTGCAAAACCCTTCGGAGGAAGAGAAAGTAGCCATCTTTCACACCTACATACAGACCAAAGTGTGTACATTAATGTGCACACATACGCTTAGTGCTCCTGAGGTTTGGGTTTGGAAAGAAGAAAAATGGGCTAATCTTTATTCAGCTGCACTTCTATCGCTGTTCCTTAATTCGTGCCTTTTTTTTTTTTTTTTTGCAATTGTATTTTTAGCACGTTTAAAAAGATCTTGCTGGAAGAAACATGGAATTGTTGTTAAATTTATAAATTAAAGCTAAAACACTCATGCATATACTTAGCTTAATATTACACGTTATGTGGACTGCGTGCCCTCATAATATGCTTATTGGTTTGACCTCTGATCTAATGCTCCCATCAGTTTCTATCTATTGTCTTCCAGGTCCCAGTTGCCCACAGCCATGCAAACCCTTACACAGAACAAAAATTTGCATAACAATTTTGAAGAGAACTTTAAAAAGTACTTTGGTATATATGTCAGATTTGCACTCTTAGCAAAGGCTAGGAGGACTGAGATAAAATTCTTCACCCAAACTCTCCTCTAGTAGTCTCTCTTTTGCTGACGGAACTAAGAAACACAGGAGAGGGATTGCCTTCTCCACACCTTCTCTCACAGTGCACGAGCATCAGTAGTAACTTACATTGGCTCTTTATTCCATTGTATTCATCTCCCAAAACCATAAGTCATCTTTTTTAAATAAAATAAAATAAACATGAAATAAAAATAAAATAAAATAAAGTCAAATCAAATAACTTAGAATTTGCAGGACAAACTCCTCTTGGAGGAATGAGATGCCAAAACACCAAATCAAAAGGCACTACTTTTTTTTTCATTGAAAGGCTTTTCATATATTCCTATAGGGAGAAAGCATGTGTTTGTAATCATATAGTTCCGTATATTGCAATAACACCTACAACATTCTATGCCTGATTTAAACTAGTAGTTTCCAGAATGAAGCTTTACCTTGTAGTAAGTAAAAGGTCAGTTTTCTTGCTGACAAAATTAAGTATTCTCTTATAAATCAATGTTCTGTATAAAAATGTAGATGTGCAAAATGCACACGTATGCTTTCACTGATACTTACGTTTCAATACATAAAAGTTTAAAACCCTAAACCCACTATGTTTCCTAAAGTCTTATTTGCAATTTATAATGATAATTGTTGCAGCTTAGAGTTACAGGAGGATACTGTGCATAGGACTGAGAACTGAGATGAGTCAAGAACAGCAGCTGTCCTCAATGCCTCATCTCATTACACAGCTCACACTGACAGAATGCCGGTGGGTGAACATTGCAGGAGTAGGGAGCAAGCTAGGACAACTACCCCATCACTGAAGTATCTGTGAGAGCAGGAGCAAGATTAGTTCATAGTACATTAGAGATGAAATGAGTTAAAGAACAGAGCCTGTGAAAAGCTGAGCTAACTTGGGAGCATTTCTTAACTCTAATTGAAGCTAGCAAGGACCTGAAACATGGTCGGTCTAAACAAGGAAAGAAAAGGTCTGTTATTTCATTTTGTAACAGGATAGGCAAGCAGGGCACTGAAGACTATTTTAGTTTAGCTTGAACTTCATGAAGATTATAGTGTCTCATTCACTTATGTGCCCAGGTCAGTCAGTTTTCAAAATAGGAACTCAAATGGTATGGCAGGAAGGGTTCAATGTCCAAATATATGTTTGATCAGATTTGGTCAAGTTTTCATTTTATGTGAAATTCCAAACTTTAAAATTTCCTTTCAGCGCTAATTTCAGCAAAAATCAGAATTTTTAAACACGCTGTGGAATGATTGTTTTTTGAATTGGGAATACAACGTCTTTCAATTTTATTGCTTGTTTTGACTTCCTGATAATGTATAATTCATGCAAGGGAAAGTGCACTATCAAAGGTGAGGGCTTGAACTTTTTTGTTTTTTAACTGAATGCCAAGAAAATGCATTATTTAGCGGAACTAACATTTTCCAAGGAAAAAGTATTGCTTTGGAAATTTTTTTCATAAATTCTACAATCACGTTATTCCTTAAAAAGTTTTCTGATTCCCTAAAATGTTTTCTGTTCTGCAAACACCTAGCTGATCACCTGAGGTTTCTGTAAATCACATCCCACACAATAGTTTAAATAAATTAAAATACAGTAGTTTAAATAAAAAAGCAAGTCCAGAGAATTGAGCAGAATGCCATGCATTCCAGCCTTTCACCCCACATGGTAAATTTTTCTTGCTACATAGAGGTGAGAGAAAATGACTCCAGACCAGTACACAGTAGAATATCACTAAAAGTCAGTCCTCAAAATGAGAACTCAAAATTTCCTAGCATATATGTGTGTAACATTCTACTGTAGGATCTGTAGGAAGCTACAAAACTATTACAAAAAAACTTCTACTTTCAGTAAAAATTTCTGTCAGTCAAAGAGTAATAATTTCCAACATAGCATTCTGGTAAGCAAAAACATTATTGCTTCAACAGCTGTTCAGAAATTTCATTTTGAAAAGATTTCAATAAATGAACGTGAGCCAATATTTATACCTAGAGGTATGTCTATATACATATATAGACACATATATGTTAGAGCAATTGATACAAACAGAAAAAAATGAATGAAATGAAACTTGGGCACACAAGTCCTTTATCAGTAAGAGAAGACAGACTTGAAAAGTTTATTGAAGAGTATTTCCAATAGACAAAATGAACAAGGCACATGCAGCTGAACGCATTTTTTGTCTCTGAGGACAGAAATGTGGTAACATTAAAAGTTACAGATACTCAGTTTCCTTTTTCATTTTTAATTTAGGGTAAATTTTAGGTAGGTTTTAATTTAGCCATACAGAGGCAATATTTAGATACACATGAGTTCTGTTCAAGCTTAGATCACGTTTACATACATTGCAATACAGCAACTGTTTATTTAATACCATGCATTTTCCCAGAACTGGTCAGTAACAGCACAGCAAGATGACTCTTGGGCAATTGAGCTTTTTCCCAAATAGTCTTGTTTTAGCGTTCTTATGTGCATCCTCAGTATAAGGGGATTATCCTTCAGGCACTTTCTCCCCTCTCTGACTCAGCATGCAAAACGTAGTATATCTCATTTTAGAAAACATGATATTGCTCAATAGGACATTACTGCTGCTGCCAAAAATCACTCTCAAAAATAGGGCAAGTCGGTACTGCTGTGGATTAAGGTCAGAAACGGAATTTTAGTACGTCTATACTGAGCTTGCCTCTATCCACTTCTCTTGCCCTTAAACTACTTCCTTTACAGTAGTTAAAATACGTTATGTCCCTAATGACCGTCCCATCTAAAAATAAGTGCTCTTGACACACAAGAGATGTCAGGCTAGCACAGCAGGATGCTGAAGCGTCTGTAGATGCGTAGCAGGGCTTCTCTTGCATTGGGTTGCAGCAGTTTAGGAATTCACACTTGATAAACGCAATAAAGGCGGCTTCTTTTTATCTCTTGCAAGCAGTGCCAAGAAAGATATATCCCTGACCCTTATTTGAATCTCTACCTTATTCTTTTATGCTCTTCTCTCGAATCATTAAATTGTATTTCATTAGGCACACATGCACTGCAGTTGTATGCACTTGTTCACTGACACCTATAGATGAACTCTGAAACTGAAAACAGAAGGCTCAACTTTGTGCTTGGGTCTACCTTTGCCTGAAAGATCCTCGTACATGCATACGAAATTCTGGTACTGTTTTTCAGGCAAGAAAGTGCCTGAACGCTGGGAAGTTTCTTACCTAAAGCTGGAATGACTCTTCTTCAGCTTTTATTGTTATCTTGTTTTCCAGATACAACAATATGGCAACAAGCTTCTGCATTATATTTAAATGTGTTATTACTTGATCTAAAAATCCTTGTCCTTGCTCTTTTCCCAAGGAGAGTGAAAATCACCAAGGAAACAAAATGTAATTATTTTTACTCAAGAGCAACATGCTGCATTATCCATGGTACAGGTTAGATTAAGCTGCTTAAAGCCCTTCCAGTGCAAGGCAGAGAGAGAATAATCTGCCCTTGTTACCTAAGACAGGAGTGGGAAAAGATGATCATTTTCTTGTTGAAATACTAGAATTTAGTCTCCTGAAATCTTACTATTTACAAACTGGCCAATGAAAGGGAGTGGTGAGTGGGTATTGTTTCTCCCCATCTTATTGTATTCTTTTTGTTGTGATAATTTTGCAGATGCCTATGCTAGTAAGGAGAAATTTCATTTTGGAAGTTTGAGTACTGTACTTTTTAGAAACCACCTAAAAGTTGGTGGCAACTACAGAGGCTGTTTAGTCAACAGTCTTTCAAGAAAGTTCTACTTCTTTGATTTGCAATTTTAATAGCTTTCTTTTAAAACATGTTTATTAGCACTATAGCGTATAGAGTGGCAACCAGTCCTCTGAAGCAAACGTATTGCAAGAAAACTACATGTAAAAAACTGATAGCAAGGGAAGCACTAAGGGCCATAGAAACAGCCTCCAAAACTCCCCTGAAAACACTCATTTTGTACTGTGGGAGGATTACCATGTTTGCCATGCATCTTAATAGAATTTATAGCTTCTTGACTGCTGTAGGTTGTGATTCATTTGTTGGCTAGAATATTTCCTTTTGTCTGTTTGCTCTAGGAGTTTCCAAGTGTTACCTAATTCTAGTTTCAATAGAATTATATGTCAACTTGCTTATCCAATAAGTGATCAAAATACCCTGCAGGTCTTTTTAAAACAGGTTTGTTATTTCAACGTACAAAACTGCTCTCATTTGTCCTGTCAGCAAAGCCATTCTGTCAGGATAATTTAACTTCAGCTGCTCATCACAATACTTTTCTTCAGGATTCTTATTCTTCTAATGTCCCATGAAACTGCAAAGATCCATTCCAAGAGGGAGCTGACGTGGCAGGATGCTTGCTTCCTTTCTGAAGCAAGTTAGAACCTTAGCAAACGCATACAGCAGTACGTGGCATCCACTATTAAAGTGCAAGGTAGGCTATGAAAAAGCATTGCCTTGAGGAGTTTATGGACATCTTCATTTTTTTTAAACCGCTTATTAAAACCTCCTGCTCCTGCTTGTCTAGTCTTTGTCCCTTGGCAAAGCTGGTCCTGAATGTTTTAGAACCAACTTACCCGCTGTCTTGGCTGCACTGCCAAACTGCTTCGAAGTTCCATACAGACTACAGCAAAAGCAAACCATGCTCTGAAAGTGATTAAGATAGCTTCTTGGATCGTATCTAAACCTGCACCTAATGCATCATATCAGAGTCAGAGAAGGAAAGGGGCCTGTATTTACATAGTACCATCTCAGCTGTGTAAGGAAAACGGAAGAGTATGAGAGTAAACTGGTTTTGCCCTTCTTTTCCTAGCTATTACAGAAATGATCAGTACATTGAATTACAATGCCATTTTCGCCATCAGCACAAATTAAAGTTCAAGGATTGAACTGTTTATAAATTAGTCTCTTTTTAAATATATCTGGAAAGTAGCACCTAAATTGTTTTACTGGTTCAGTGTAATAAGAGAAAAATTGGGTAATTGAAAAAAAAAATCCCTTAGATATCAGTGTTTAGAAAACAAGATTTTTTAACAGCTTGGGAGTTCAGACCAGACACAGCACTTACATAACTGAGCAGAAAACATCAGTAATCAAAATGGAAGTGTTAGATAAATAAATACAAATTAACAAAACCACCAACAGTTCTCATTTCCCTAAGAAAGTATTCAGTTTCTTTACTACATCAACTTGGAACAATAAAATAAGTGTTTTTTATATATTGTCACTTGGTTTATACCCTTAAAGGATCTCTTCAGACAGATTTTGTTCTCTACGTTTTCCTGCATTGCTATAATTTTATGCAGCAACACTTCAACTTAAATTTTTTGAAACTACGTTAACAATGGTTTTGTTCAGTTGTTTACGGATTCCATTTCTTTAAGAAATATATTGAATTTATATATATTTTATGCTTTTTGAAATTTCAGTTCTCTTGGGAAAAATATATTATTTAGTTTAACAGCTGGATCTTATTCATTAGAATAAAGATTGAGCTATCAGAAGGGGATGCTGAGTTCTAAGTAAATATTGCCTTCAGGAAACAAACCATGTAAATCAAAATTAGTTTTAGGCAGATTCACTTCTCCTACCACCTCTTTCTTGTGAGAAAATGTAAACAGAACCTGAAAACTACATGTATTTTGGTGGAAAAGACAAAGAACATCCTTTACTAAAAATACTAAAAAAAAAAAAAAAGCTGAAAAAGCTTTGACCTCCCTCCCTCAAAAACCCCTAACCCCCTACTCCAAATCAAACCCCTAAAACTTTTCCTTGTAGCAGTGCTTGGAAACATTGTAGTCCAGACTTTTGAAAATTGTCTTTAATGCTTTCACATCCCTGAAAAGAGTAAACTTCAGCATATGGAAGATGGTGGCAAAGATAATGAAACATTTGCTCAGCTTTAGTCCACTCAACAAAACTTTCCATCTATATTATGGGTGGTGCTTGGTCCTTCAGTAAACTGCATAGTAAAGTTGTACTTCAAGATTTTGCAATTGTTTGTAATTTGACAGCCTCTTGCACCCTGCCCAGTAACAACCTTCATTACAACTCCACTCACCATTTTAGGGCAACACTGTAGTCCTACTGTAGAACAACTTGCCAAGTACAGTCTTCTAAGAAGCCAACATGTGCAGAAGTGACCATGTACGCAGACCGGCACATGGATCACAGCCATCATGCAGGCTAACTGAGGTCACAGACCTGCAGCAAGATTTCACCGCAGACTGTGCACAACTAAAAAACGTCTTCACAGTTCCTTTTGGCTTCAGTTGCTTTATAATAGTCATTCTCTGTACTAATTATCGATAAGAATTCCTGTCAGTTCAATCAGCCTTTTGAGAAAAAAAAGAAACCTCCAGAATTCTTTTCCAGTTTTTCCCCTTAAAATTCTGAAGCACAGTAAAATGATTGTCAGATGCAGATATTTTCAGAAAACAGGCTGGAAAGCAAAGATGACCCTCAGCTGAGCTGGTCACATGTTGCCTGAAGGCCCTGTATTATTCATCCCTGACTGAATTTGAATATTATTTCATGAAGCTGTTTTCACCCAGATATTCAGCTCTGCACTATTTGCCCTCCAAACACAGAAAACTGGGAAATAATCAGTGCGCTCCCTTCTACCTAGAATAAGCAAGGAATGAATATACATTCTGCTCAAATTTTCTTGTTTGAGATAGTTCAGCAGTGAAGAAAAAGCATCAAAGAACACTGTGTACCAGCACTGCGATTTGTTATATGTGAGGTATCGTGTAACTGATATGGGGAGAACGATTTGGGAATGGAGGAAGAGCAGGGAGAAGAAGGGAGCAAAACGAGATCTCAGCAAACACATAATAGAGCTGTCTCATAAAAAAACTTGGCTTACTTTTTTTTTTTTTAAACATTTTTATAGCAGAAAAAAGGTAAGAAAAAAATAAAGAACTTTAGTCTTATTAATAAAGGCTTGTAAGTTAATGATTCTTTGGCCAATTTAGTGAGGAAATCCTTCTGCCAACTTCACAAGTGCTGCATTTTAAAACTAAGTATTTTTCCTTTGCCAGCAATAAAGGATGTTCCTATGGCTATTGCTTTGTTTGAAAATCTACTGGGAAATGCATAAGTTTCATTGAACCATTGAATCATTTGCCAAGTTGACAGAGAGGCTTAATAAATCAGGGAAAAACCTTTCACTCATCAGTTTATGAAAGATGTATATTTGGAAATTAACCCAGAAAGCCTACTCACTCAACCATTACATTATAAATATGCGTATTTGATGTTCTGTAAATCCCACTTCTAGGGAACTACTTTCACTTTCCTTGATGTTGCTTCATCCCAGGAAATAACTGTCTCCTCTTAAAATGAAAGAGATATTTCTTGTATCAAAGCACTACAATTTAAAAAATAATGCTGTTGAAAAGCTGCATCCTCCTTTCTTGTGTAAACAATGATCAATTAATAACAGCAGCAGCAAACATTAATGAGAAACTGCTAGTAGCACCTGGGCCTTAATGACATTCTGAAAACCTACTATTAAGGTCCCAAGTGAATAAAGCTTTTAAACATCTCCAAGTCCCATGGGAGTTCACATTCTCAGACACACAATTAAATACTTTATTGAACTGAAGCCTAGGCCTAAAAAACCATCTCAGTGTATACAAAGCTCAGGTCTGTACAAGAAATCTTCAGCACAAAAATGTTAAGAAAACTATAAAGAGTAGCTGAGCAGTACTGAATATAGTTATCAGTAAAGTTTAATGGATGACTCAGTGACTGGACTAAAGGCTAATGACTTAAAAAACATTTAAAACTATCATAAAAGCATCTTTACTAAGCAACTTATGAAAAGGAAATCACCTATCAGGTGAGGCCATGAAGCACATTACGTTACTGAAACTGACAAGAATTCAGTAAAAAGCTTGCCAATCATTACATTTGTCCACTGAAGTATTCAGTGAAAACAGATAAAACAGGTCACATTACACAGGTAACCATTTTAAAAAGTCCAGGTGAAAATAGCAATGGTGTTAGTATCTGCTTTTTCCAGTCCTTTTTTTCCAAAACACGTAGAGGACAGATCACTTGAATCACTTTTCCGTCTCATCCTCAGGTTCACTGTCTTCACTATCACTGTCTCTTCCTGGGTGTTCTGGCATTGTTCGGTGTTCATCCGCTTCTGCTGCTTTCAATTCTCCTTCCTTTACTACTTCTTCCTCTGCTTTATTTTCTTCTGTATCTTCCTGCATACTTTGTGCTTCAACTTCTACTTCTGTCTCTTGAGTTTGAGCAGTTTCAGTTTCTTCAATCATGGCAGGTGGGGGCAGTAAATGCTAGATGATTAAAAAAATTCATACATACTTTCAGTTTTCAAAACAAGTCAGTCACGCTTGGGCATCTATTCCTATTTTAGCTCAAACTGTTTCACCTTAGGTTTAGGTGTTTACATTAGAAAAAAATTCATCAACAAAGACTTGCTAGTTAGAAACACTAATTGCTTGTAGTTACTTAACTCCTATAAAATTAAGGGGAAGAATAAGCTTGGCATACATATTGGGTCTTACTAAACATGTTTTATGCCTGAAAAGAGGGTGATAAAAACTCAGTACTTCCAATTCAATGCATTTCATTACCCTAAACAGCCAGACAAGTAATGGGGCCACAGTACGGTCCTACTTGGAGCACTAGATACATTCCCTCCATAATCTTGCACAATACCATTTCAGACCAGACAGAGTGGATTACCTTTTTTAGGTCTGCCTTTACTAACTCATTTTAGTAACTTCCCTGGAAAAGTCTTACAAAACATTTTGTGAGCATTATTTTTATTTATACAAGTTTCACCTACAATTCTACGTATAGAACAACAGAAGTTCCAGGAACAAATAAGGCAATGCTTAGATATTTGTCACATACCAATACTTCGGTAAGTGTAGTTTAACATATACTTTGCTCACAACCAAGAAGCAGTTCGCAAGCACAAAACATTACAAGCAGCAATGCTGCCTGCATTACAGACTAAACAAAATACAACAAAGATCCAACCAGGAATACAGGGAGCTGAAGAGTATGACAAAACCTAAACAACTCCAGGCTGAACAGAAATGCTCATGCTTCTTGCAGCCTGATATGATTTAATGTCATGAAGGGTATTTCCAAGGAGTATTGTAAAGAGTTTTAATGAAATGGTAGCTTGACGAAACTCCAGCAGATCACGTTTAGTTATGTTTTGCTTACAGGCTACTTGGTTTCACATGACAAATTAAGTCTTTAATCACACAGAATCTTATCTTCAATTAGATGACACTAATATTACAAATTTCTGACAAGCACGCAAAATCTACGGAGCAATTATAACTACTGGCAGGAAAAGCATTTTTACAGACTTCAAAATTATCATATTGGTCCCTATAATCTGTCTATTCTTCAAAAAGCAGAATGTTTCAAAACCAGGGATCCTTTAATTACAAAAATATATTCCTGATGTTTGAGACAAACTTGGACTTCTCCTACGATGCACTTAGATTCATATTGTGCTTTATGACTACTACAGTTAAGAGCAGTGTAAGTGAAAAATGTCATGCTGTATTAAATAGGGCAAAGGAAAATCCTTCTTTAATGCCTGCCTATGCTTTTTATTTATTTACTTGCTTTTTGGCTTCTCATGGAAGGAGAGCATGACTCACTGCCACAGTAGGGAACCAGTAGCTCTACGACTAATTTTAGCTAGCAATGGATAAGGTTAGGATGCTAAAAGGAGTAATTAGGTGTTAGCAAAAGTATCAGGGCCAGTTTCAACTAAAGCCTCAAGCAAACACATCTTTTGTTACAATTTTGATGCTACCATCCAAAGAACTGCTGCCTAGTTACAGAGGACTAAATTTCACTGTCAAAAACTGCAGTGCCTAACAATTTCCTTAGGAACTTGAAAATTCCGCTTTTCAGGGCATGTAGACACTTCTCAGTTTTGACAGACCTATTTATTTACATCTGAATGTGACCAACTGCACGTACCATTGAGTCCTCATGGAGCCCTCATCAGATATGATCTCTGTGAAAGAGATCTGCAAGCTAAATTAGACAAACCAGCTCCAGAAATAATTTTGCCATGCTCATAGGACTAAGTTTCTAACACAATGTAGTGTTAGTTTTGACTAGTTATAAACAAACAAAGCCAGAGGAAGTTGAAGTTTTAGTCTCTTTCTGCACAGCAACAAGGTGAATAGAGCACGTCCCCAAATAGACAGTATCCTGTATACCTGACAAAGGGTTGTTTTGAGTAGTGAAATGCTTCAAATTTCACTTAAGCTATGTCTCCCACGGAAAAAAAAAATCCAAGAATTATTAGAGATTTTGTATCTGAAAGTCTGACATTCAGTTTAGGGAGGAGTTTTGGATTTTGATCTCTAGTACTTATGCTTTTCAAATATTAGATGAAACGGACATTGAAAGAAGAAGAGGAGAGGAGAGGATTAGAGAAACATCCTTGTATTAAAGAACAGAATCTAGGTCTCCCAGGCACGTACCCTGGACCAACCTGTTCAAGGATAATCCCATGCTCTTTCCACAGCCAGTTAATACTGAACAAAATAGCGTTCCCTTTTACATCGATTTTCTCCTCCTTTGGATGTTCTTTAGGAGAGCAAAAACCAACAAGGAAGTTTCCGAGTGAAAGAATAGGTTGTAGACATATAATTAAGCAAGTACTACAGGCCGCAGACATGAAGTGAAAGGTGTTGCAACTGAGGGGTAGGACTGAAGACCTCTCCCTTTGGGTTTACTCTCAACTAACTCTAGGCACCTACAGATTCAAGTATTCCGATTAAAGACAGCTTCCCATTCAGTATATTATTTAAACCATTTTAAAACTCTGCTCATATACAGGATAATTAATCAGAGTGTTTTTATTCAGGGCTCCGAATTCTGCTCCAGAGATTTCTGCCATGAAAGAGTTGGGCACAGCATGTGAAAAAGCATCTACAAGTGCCTCTGTACAAGGCCGTTCAGCATGGTGCTGAACTAGCACTCAACAAAACTGCTCCAGAATAAAAATGCTACAGCTGCTGACAAGCTTGAGCAGTGCAGTGAGTTAACTTGGCTAAAATGGCTTCTAGATATGATCTATTCTGCTAGACACCGCTCTATTACAATGCACCATTACACCATACAAACGTGCTGTAATGCTTGTAGCTGCACTTGCCTGCAACATAACAGACCAGTTTACCTCAAGCAAGTAATGGACAGACTAATTCTTTAATTTTAATAAGGATTTTCCAGGCTCAGACAGAACCAGGCCTAGCACTCAGCACTAATTACTGCTATCTTAGGCCCTAATTGGAGCCTAAATTACTACAACGCCGCTCCTGTTACTACAAGATTTTTAGAGAGCTCAGTATCTTCACTCCCAACCATAAAACGTTCTTGAATTTGGAGGTGAAATAAGAGCAAGTCTAAAATCCTCAACAGCATCCCTTGTTCCTTACTAAAATCAATTTTATTTTAGAAATATGCCTTAGAAATTAGAAGGTCCTTACCTGTCGGTAGTGGCGTGTACTTTGTATCATGTGCATATACATGTTGTACACAAAATTAGCCATTTGAGGCATGTTCTTTATAACATGTATTTGGTGAGAAGGCCTTTCTCCATTCTAGGGAAGGGGAAACAAGGTAGACATTCAGCATAATAAAGCCACACAATGGTTATCCAAAGGCTGTTTAACGTTATTGGGAAACGTATATAAACCCCCAAAATTGAAAAAAAAATATTTTCTGAAGAAAGGAACAGCTAAATTCTTTTGCAAGATAGAAAGTGTGGGCCTTGCACTTTTGGCAACTATGTTAGCTGTGATACTGCAGCCCAGTGAAGAAATTTCTCTCCTCAGGAAAGGGAAAGGCTGGCTTTTGATTCCTACTCGATAGAGTGCATTTTGGACTCAAGACTCATTTAACTAAAGGCATAAATAGTTTAGGATCAAAATAGGACTTAGCCTACTTGTCTGCCACAATCAAGCTCCTTGCCTACAGTCAAAATCCTGGACCAACCAACCAACCATCCCAACCATGTCAACAGCTTGGTGATTAGTGTGTTAACTTAAAACATGGAAAGTGTGCTTCCAACTACTGAAGCACAAGGCTCTTCAAGACTCTTTTCCTAAGAGAGTATGCAAAGGATCGTCTCCTCTGCTTTCACACTGGACAACGTTTTAAATGACAGCACTCTCGATGTCCACACCCAAATGACAATTTCAGCACAATTTCAGGTTCACACAGGCACCTTTTCTAAAGCTCCAGGCAGCAGCAGATATGCTCCTCCATTTCTTACTTGACTGTTTAGCATCCTACTCATTGTGAATCCTGTCCTTGGATGCTTAATCCTGATTTTTACTACAGATCTAGGTCAGTGTTATAAATTCATTTTTATACTTATGCACCCAGTTCAGCAACAAGACTCTTCTGTGATTCTGGGCCCAATCTCAAATTTTTTTTTTCAGTTGGTTATTGGTTATTCTGAAATACTGCAAGTCAAATAAAGTATTTTACCTCTCTTAACGAGAGGCTATTAGCTTTATGTTTTTTAGAGCAACTATGCTATTTTGTTTCATAGCAAAACCAAAAATATGTAACACACTGTAAAAGCTTACATATTTATCACAAAATAAAATCTTATGGAAAAGCAGGCATAACTGGACAGAGTTACATTAGTTTAACTGAAGTTTAGCGTGAAGGGGAAAACAAAGATCAATTAAAAAGAGTTGGTGTATCACAGTAAAAGTTTACTCCAGGGACATAATTATCTAAGAGGCATTGGTTTGTAACAGAGAGAACACAGCAGTCCCCCGTTTTATAGCCCACTCAAAGGCAGGCCACAAAGACGTCCATTACAGATAGTGAAATTCAGAGCAAAGGTTCCCACCTGTCTTACTGTTGGAAAATATTCTGTGGGAATTATATGGAGGTGAAGTGGTCTAGCTGTGAGCTGGCTGAAAGCAGGAGTTAACTCAAAACAGTTCTGAAACAGTGATACCCTTGCAAAGATATAAAGCCCAAGCCTGGCTCTTGACATGGCAACAACTAGTCTTCGGACATCCCTTCAGAAAACAAAACAAAAAAAAAATTAGTCATGTTTTTTCTCACTGATGATAAAATTCAAATAAAAATAACTGCAAGTATACAGAAGTCTTTAAATAAAGGAAATATACAGTAATCTGGCTAAAACACTATTACTTCCTCATTTGTTTTTCTAGTATTTCAATAAACCCTAGAGCTATTATGTAAAAGAGCATTAACTCCATTGTTAATTATACTGAAATCATCCTTTACATTTTTCCTACATTCTGGAGGTAAAACTCTATATTAGGAACAAATCAGAATAGCATTTCTGTATCCCTGAAGGAGAAGAAATGAGTTCCATAATACAAATTTGACTACTGCTGAACAGAAAAGGCTTCCTCCACCACACAACTGAAGTGCAAACAGGTTAAACTGCATATCATACCCTAAATTATGCAAAAGGTCGCACACTTCTGATACAAAACAAAAAGCCCCTCAGTTACAGGAAAAAGGCTATGAGAAAATTTCAAGTCTGTATTTGTCCAACAAGTCTTGCATTCCTATCGTTCTACAAGGGTGAAACCAAGTTCAGCCTACCTGCAGTACTACAAACTAATTATAGTTGTTAGATAAGAGCCAATACTAAAGGATAAAGTGGTTGTGAAGAGGCTACCAGACAGCTATATATGGAATTAGGTTTGAGCTTCATTCCGTAAATAACATTAAACTTTGTTTCTACTATATACTTGAATAGTTGAACACCTTTGTACAGCATATTATAAACGTCCTTCTGCCAAGGAAAATATGTAACTCAATGACTTTATGCGACTATCTTCTTACATACCTAAGGTGGCCTACAGCTTTGGTGCGCACTAGTGAAAGAAGAATAAAATCATTCTGCTGACCTTGAAATCTGTCTACAGTTGTCACCTAAAGAATCAAAAACAAACAAATAAAACCCTCCTGAAGTTAATCTTTTCCATTTCATTTAAAATGCAATATCAACATTTTAGCATCAACTTTGGATTCAGATCCATTCTGTGATTACAGTAAATGAGAAGAGAGAAGAGAACGCTTTGTCTCTGCTTTGGTTCTCTTCTAACTTATGCCTGAAAATCATCAGCCTATTCTCTTTGGCAGATGTTGGGAGGAACCTTTGTCTGACACAGTATACCCTCTCTTACATTTTTATTCAATTCAGATAGCTATCAGTGGAGTGCTAATACCAAAAGGCTTTGCAAAGCCATCCAGTTTATAATACAGAATTTTAATCTGCAGAATTAGCACCAGACCTTCCCCCCACCCCCCCAAGATTCTTTGTCATACGTTTTATCAGATGGCCATTTTCACTCTGGGAAGATCTTTCTAAAGAAAGTTTTTCGGGGACAAAACAAATGTCAGGCCCACAGACTACCTGGGACAGAATAACTCCTTGCTCTATCAAACTTTGACATAGTTCCTCTGCATGACAAATTACAAACAGGCAGAAGTGACAGCGCTACTTTATCTGCTGCCAACCAGGGAATACTTGTACAGAAAGCAGTGAATCTATTCAAATCAAATGTTTTATAACATGAAAATTATGGCGGGGAAAAAAAAACAACAAAAATCCCCCCACAACACACACACAAAAAAGAACCACATCAAAGACTCAGATATTTTCAAAGTCACCTTGTTTGGCCGTCCAATCAGTGGATTATTTCCACAACGCTGATTAATGACATCACGGATCAGGTGTTTTTGTCCATTGTATGTTGTCAGGATACTTATCTTGTCTGCAGGATAACCAAGCAGGCACATATACATGAAGAGTGCCACAACATACTCTGCTTCACCAAGATTCTTGGATTTAAAAGAAAAAAAGGTTATTGGCCTTGTAAGGTTGGAATGAGTAACACCTGAGACGCTATTGTGCATTTAGAAGACACATCTCAGTAATGAAAGAAGCGTCCAGAAGTCCGTTTCCTTACTCATTTAACGAAAGCCATTTTCAAAGAATAAAGGAACCACAAGTAGGTATAACCAACTTGATTTGGATTCCTCTTCAAGAAGAGGATTACTGAAAACTTCTGTATCACTGTTGTTAATCACTGATTGACACTTTCCAATACCTATTGGGAAGCACTCTGTTTTGTTTCAATAAGAGATAGAAAACTAAATATTTAATAGTCCTTAAATATGAATATGTTTATATTTTTAAAACATTTAAACAATAATATATTCATATATTTAAGGAATATTACATATTTATACATTTGTCTCTAAATGCATTCACATACTTGCAGTTGTTTGCACAAAGGAGCTGCCAACTTAACTGTACTCCTGCAGTAGAACAACAGGTCCTAAAAGAACATTTTTCATTTTTTTTTCCTTAAAGGTCATATACCAAAACAACACCTCCTATGTGCACTCTGATATGTGGAATCATAATTTGTTAAAATGCATTAAAAGCTGGTATCTTACAGATACCAGCAAGATATAGATATTTACATGCAAAAGTTTAAAAAGTGCTCAGCACCGATGTAACTTGGCTTCAAATAAGCATGCAGCTTTAAAGAACCACTCTCAAGTAAGTTCAAAGTAAAAGCGAGTTCCAGCTGAACTCCTTTCAACTATTAATTAGAAAACAGACCTCTGGATTATCAGATCCAGTAATTTCTCCTGCAATCCATGCCTATTCAATTTCAAACTGATCAAACATTAATTTACATTTCACAACTTGTTTTCTGTGCCATTAACTGTAATAAATGGCTGATCCAGAGCACCATTCTTCTAGTTTTGTCCACTTTCCAGACTGAAGTTATTCATGGCCTGTTTAAATCCATTCTCCTTGGACAAAAATGATCTTTCAGGTTAAAAACTTGTTCTCATTCCCTGACATTTATCCCTGGTACATTTACATAGGCATTCTTATCCCCATGCAGCCTTTGTTCAACTAGGATAAACATACCAACCTCCTTTATTTCCTCTTCCTCATTACTTGGAAAAAGCAGTTGCTACATATACTAAATACCTGTGGATATGAAAGCGTTCTGCAAATTTTTAGTCTACTTTTAAGTCTATGGAAAGAAACGCCCAGATTCACAAATAGATAACTAGCATATGGCAGTCATTTACTTCACAAAAAATAGAAGTTTGTGCTACCAAATTGTCCAGTGCCACCAACATACCCTGCTAATATGTCTCCACCTTCAAGATTACAGGGAAAAAAAAACAACAAAAAAAAACAAACACACACACTGTGGGACACATTAGAAAAATTCACTCAGGAAAGCACTACTGTAGTGATAAAGGTATTCTGTGCTCCTGTCCCTGCGCGAGTGTTCTCAGTCTCCTTTGGCCCAGAAATGGACTAAGTAGTGCTGGTATTCTCAGTTAACAGATTCCTGTTGCTAAAGCACAAATTTCAGCTGTTGCAACAGACAGCTTCTTACTATGTTGTATGTTACAATGTTATAGCTTAAAAGAAAAAACAAAAACCAAAACAACAAAAAAACCCTAAAGTCTCCCCTTCAAATAAGCCTTAACCTGCAATCTAGAAATGAGATTCAGCAGATTATGGATCACCATTGCTTAGCAGCACACAAGTTTGTACTACAGAAAAAAAAGTTATGATGAACCCAAGCAAAACCTAAAAATATCCTTCATACCTCTTAAAAACAGATTAAATAGTTCTCAATAATCTTTACAGGAAGAAAACAAAAAAAAGGGCCATGAATGTTATCACCTTAAGTTGTATTTCTTGCTTTCCATAATGTTAAACAAAAGTTCTGAATCCCATATTTGTATTAAACTCATCAACTTGCACAAAGCTGCAGTTTCTCAAAACTGCTGAAACCCAAACTAATTCAGGCAGCAAATTTGGTTTTTATCACCGGTTTTAAAACAAGATTTTGGTGAAGAAAAACAAGAGGATTGAAAATATAAGCATCTCATCACAAGTATAAAAGGTTTTCCCATATTTAAGAGATGTACGAGACTATTGTTGATGGCTGAATTTGAAATTTAGTTGAGAAATCTCAAGGCTAAGTTTTTCTGACAATTTACTTCAGCAACAGTCGTTGCCTGTTTGTCTTTCTCTCTCACGTGTACACTACTTCTAGCACTGTTTCATTCTTTTAGGAATGGGCTTTTATGCAACATTGCATACAGATCAAAACAGTGACACTTCCAACTGAAACACATGCCACAAAGCAACCTTGATCCTTCACGTACATGGGAAAATGCTGTTATTTCAGTAGTATGGCAGTACAGCAGAACTGCAACAGCTTTTAACTTGCCATAGTCCGAAACGTTTCATAGTGAATTATGTACCAATCGTCTCACAGCACAATTTTGAGAAAACAAAAAATCAAGCCAAGCCATTATTCACTTTGAGCAACAATGCAATGCATTATTTTCATTTTCAACATCCAAAACTGATTACGAGAAGCACTAACCATGTATATATTCATTACCAGCTTTACCTGAAAACCTGAATTAGACAGCAGTTTACAGTATTCTGATAGTCTGGCCTTCACTGCAGATTTAATAAGACATATCCAGATTAAATAAAGTATACATTTTATGTTTCTGTTACCTGATAGAAATAAGGATTGGGTTCAGACTCTCCCACACCATTGAAGTCTTCTACGTTTATTAGCTGGAAGTCATATAAAAACCCAGCATTGGCTGTTCTAAACTCTGGCAGAAGCTGGACGTGAGGCAAATTACCCAGATTCTTGTAACGCCAATTGTAGAGGTTACATAAACTGTCCAAAAACACACACAGACACAAACCCAAACAGTTAAAAGTGGGTTAAGTCATTCAAAATAGTTCAAATACAAATATCCCCTCCGACGTGAACGTTTCTGTATTCTTCTTCGTTCATACATGTAAAAGTTATCCAGTAATCATTTTTTAAGTTTCGAATTTTTTGGTTCTTTCTCACAGAAAACGCCAGATTTCATTTTTCTTTGGAAAGTACAGAAGTCTGACCAACTCTTCACATCCTCTGAATACCACCATACACAGCTGAATTAGGAACTGAATTCTCCTTTCTCTCACAGCATGGATATGGGAATCATATCCTCCTATAAAGCACTGCTGGCAGAAATTTAAAGGATCACACTCCACGCTGCATATTGAGAATAAAAGAACAGACATTATAATAGCAAAATTTTCAGAAAGGATTTGCCTAGACTAGAATGAGTCTAAGGTTTTTAATGCTTAAATTATCCCTGAAAACAAATTTAAACACTTTCATACTAGATCTCATGACTTCAACACCGGTGAGCATATATGGACCAGCATTTCATAGAATTATAGAAGAATTTAGGTTGGGAGGGGGCCTTTGGAGGTCCTCTGGTCCAAATCCCTAGTTAGTAGGGCTAACTTTGAAGTTCAGTTAGCTAGTGAACACTCAGACTCCTACATGAGTTAATCTCCTGACTATAAGGACAGCTATTCAAATTTGTTTTAATGTACTTGCATATGCTTACTTGCATACCTGCTATTCCCAATGTAAACAGGACATATACTTGCTGTAAGATACTTTCAGCAAGCTACTGGAGGTGAAAAGATTTGTGATGGAACAGTGAACTCTGGGAATAGTTTTAAGCACCGGACAAACCACCCATTCAAGAACAGTCTTTCCTTTTGCACAAAAGGCTAATTTACTGCAAATACCAAAAGCAGTTCCTTTGTCCAGAGAATTTGTCCATAACCCTCCTACCCAGATCCAATACATGACTCTGGGAAGAGGATATTTAATAATACAGTTAAAACTACTCCATGTATTTAACCGACTTTGCACACATGACTGCTTAATCACCTGAGAAGTCAAGTAACAAAGCACCTAAAGTTAAGAAAAATGACTGCTTCTAACCTCTCGAAATCGGATACTGCAAGCAATAAAGAAAGAGGAAGAAATAAGGACCCTCTTCCTCCAAGATTCTGCTGTTTTAGATTTAACAATGACATTTTCCAAACAAAAGATGCTTCCTTTAAGGGTATGAAGATTGTTGAATTCTACAATGATATAGGTTGGAAAGGACTTCTGGGGACACCTGGTCCAAATCCCTCACTCCAAGCAGGGCCAGCTTAGATCACGTTGTTCTGAGCCTTGTATAGTCTAATTTTCTGCATCTCCACGGACGGAGATTCCACAGACTTTCTAGACAACCTGTTCCAGCGTTCGACTGTCCTCACTGTGAGCTTTTTTCCTAATATCTAATTGGCGTCTCCCTTTTTGCAACTTGTTCCTGCTGCCTCTCATCCTTTCACTGTACGTTTCTGAGAAGAGTCTGTCAGCCTCTCTTTGTACATTACGTGCTCCATCCCTGTAATCAAGCTGACAGCACTGCACTGGACTCACTTCAGTATGTCAGTGTCCTTCTTGCACCAAGGAATCCACAACTGAATGCAGCACTCCAGACACAGTCTCACGGGAACTGAGTCAAGACTGAGGCCTTTATAGAAAGCCAAGACTTCCTTTGTAATAACTATTCAGAGCATTGCCACAGATGCACTGAAAGGGCTCCTATCCTTTTAGCCTCAGTTTATCTGTAGATGAAAATTCCAAAAGAGAATTTCGTTTACCTGCCTCGTAAGGATTTAGGTGGCATTATGTCCTGTTATTTAAGGTATCAGTAAAAGGGCTAGACAGGAGAAGGGAATACTAAGTTGCTAGACTTCCTGAAAGAACACTTTCCTTGCTCAAGTACTGCTTCCCTCTGTAGATTGTGTCCTGTAGTAAAATACAGAGTCTTGTACAGGGTATTACTCTAGGATCTCTCAGGTGCAAGTTCTGCTCTTTCACTAACCTATCTCATGAACCTAACCAAGTCAGTCCTATATTTCAGTTCTATCCTCTGTAAATGCAAGTAGCGATCTCTATCTACCTTCTTCCAAAGTAATCTCAGATTAATTTTCAAAAAACCTTGGCATATGCCTCCTCCCGCTTTTTTAAAGGCGGACCCAATTGCTAATTCAAAAGAACGGATTGTAAAAAAATCTGATGGCACCCAAGGATTAGATACTCTTACGCTTAACATTGTGTTTGACGGCTTTAAGCACTCAACAAAATAATCCAACTTCTTTTGCCAGTAAGAAAATCCGGAACTGTGATTAGAGAGATATTTAGGCACAATTACATTTATTTTTTAATTAATTTTGTTTTTTCGTACACTGGGGGATATCTTGGCAAAGGTCCCTTGCTTTAATGGATTTCAATTAGTTCACTTAACAGTGAGTCACTGTACATACAGTTTTGCCAGCAAATTTGAATATGCACTGACTGCGACTGGAGACAGAACTGATGCCACAGTGGAGGCAGTCTGTAGCTATGTTAAGTACAGCGTTAAGCATAAGCTAAACAAGTGCTGATGAAAAGTATTCTGCAACTACATAGACTCTGACCAGCTCAGAAAAAGAGGGTCTGCATGCAAATCACAAAAAAGCATCCCATTGACATTAGCATAGACAGCAACGCAGCACTGTTCTGCTTGATCAGCTCAGCCTTGAAGGGCAGAAGTTTTGTGAAGGAATCCAAAAAGCATTTTCACAGGTAATAAAGCATAAGGAATACTAACGCTTCTTTACAAGAAGGAAGGAGTAAGGAAAAAGGATTTTTCCCATTAGCCATCATAAAACCCCTTACTGCAACAAGAAATTGACTTTCTTATTTCTTCATGTATTTCTTCATTTCTTCTTCTTATTTCTTCATGTATTAACATGAAATGTGAAGGGAAGCAGCCAAAATCTACACAATTTGATTCAGCCCTGGAATTTATAGGGAGAGTAATATAACCAAATATAACCAAAATGCCTCAGTCAAAAGCAGGTAACAATATGCAGATCAGATAATGTAGCAGATACTTCATGGGGAAGCTATGTATGATCAAAATAGAGAAGATAAAGTGTAGCATGGTAGAGAATAAATCCTTGATTAAGAGATTGCTTGTATCAAAGGTGGGAAATCTTCTGTACAAATATTCTGAGAAGTTGCAGAATAGTAGATGTCAAAATTAACTTCACAATCATCATACTTAAACTTTATAATTTGCACTTTTAAACCACACGTAAAATAACTGTTGTCCATATGACTAGAAAACAATATTCTGCCAGTCCTTACGTTTCCTAAATGAAAAAGATTGAGTTCTCCATTCTCCTTTACGTCTAAAAAAATAAAATACTAGGAGTTAAAACCAATCTTAAAGTAGCAAGATTTTATTTCTTTTCTTCGGCTTTGTTTTCCCTTGTTAATATTGCAGCACAAATATGCACAAATATGCACTTTACGCAACAAAGAGCTCTATGTAATAAATAAATTACCATATTGAAATTACAAATACAAGAATAAAAAAAGAAAAGCTATAACTTTTACTATGGAGAAGCAATATTTGTTTCAATATACAAAAAGACATTATGCCCTTGTGCGGACAACTTGAATGCCTCCCATCTCAGCCGAAGCTCTGCTGAAATGCTGTAAGAAAAGTGAAAAAAAAGCTATACGAAAAAATCTTCCCCTTTACCTAAGCATCTCTTTAGAATTTAACCTAAATTATACAAAAGTGGTGTTCATAGCTGTATCTCAGTATGCATTTTACTGACCTTAAAAGGAATATCAAATCTTTGTTTAGCCTTGAATATACTAAATATATTGGTTTAGAAAAGGATCCTTCTAAAAAAAAGCAAAACAAACAAAAAAACTTAGCTGGAAACCAAAAAAACCCCAACAGCAACCTCAGAAGGACTATTAAAAATCCTTTAAAATCATCTTCCTTGAAGTACTCATGCAGTAGCAGAGTATGGTCATATGAGAAAGTAAGTAAATCTGACAGTGTTTCAGCAAAATAGAACTAATCTGCCTTCCTAGTATCATCTGAAAAAAGAAAAAGGAAAAAAAGAAAAAAAACAAGAAAAAAAACCTAAATTAGTTTTGTAAACTCTTATCCTAACAATCCAAAGTTTCCAATGTTATATGTGTGCTTTTCCAACTTTTAAGCTGGCAGCGTCTTGTAAGGTAGACGTGCCATTTTCTCCATCTCACCTTGCTCTTGCTCTTCCTTGTGCATCCAGATCAACAGTTGGCACTCCCACACGAACAAACCGTGTAAAAAGGGACTGCTCCATGTTGGAGTATTTTTGAAAAGCCATATTCTTAATGACTGGGGGCAACTGATGATGATCACCAATCATAATCCACCGCTTCAAGCGGCTAAATCCATCCTGCGGGTTCTAGAATTAAAAAAAGCAGTACATAATTACAACCGTTAAAATATAATCAAGGCACTCAATTACAACACATTAATAGTCAAATTGGCTCCTTCTAAGCCCTAAATTTCAAAATTTATTCTTAAGCTACACTGATTTGCAATCATTTTAAAGATGACCACTGGCTTTTTTCCAATCTCTCTACTGCCAGGAAAGGAGATTGATATTTTAAATAAATTCTTTCTTCTTATAAAGGAATGGATAAATTTGTCTACTAAAATCAGTAGAGAAACATCAGGATCAATATTCTATTACGTTGTTTGGGTGACCACAAGTAAATGTATTATTCAGAGAGCAGAAGGAAGAAACATGATTATAGACTAGTTACACAAGTAACAGCACTGATTTCTACGTACTACTGTTTCCCTAGAACACTCTTTTAAACCTTTTTCTTGTGGTTTCTGAGACAGTGGGCATGAAGTGCCTTAAACGCCTGAAATAACTTTAGTCCTCTTGTGCCTGAGCCACAAGCTAAGCCTTTTAAGTGTCTCTGCAGTTCATACGTTGCACCTATGCACCTCTGGAATTGTCACATGGTCTCTTCCATCACCAGAAGTGCCCCTAATTAATGCTCACCCCAGCTCTTGTACTGAATGCCACTTCAGTATGTTTGGTATACCTGTTTCCAGTTCCTCACCATCTTTTGTGTACCTGTAGATGCTATGTACATAGCACACATGTATATGCTAACCCTACACCTTCTACTTGATCTCAGCACGTGAGGGAACGTTTTAACAGAGGAACAGTAAAGGAAAAAAAAAAAAAAACGGGTGGGTGGAATTGTCCAGGAATCAGAATGCCAAAGAATTCTGCCTGCCAGTTTTATAATCCAAATCCTCATTCCTCACACACTCCTCTGATTTTTCCCTTTCCTCATAACAGGCAGTATTCAAGATAGAGGCTGAAGTTCCTTTTACTGCCAAGTGAAGATGAAGAATTCTGAAGTCCTCCCTGATGAGGCAGCAAGGAAGGAAAGGTGAACTTGGGACTGCCCATCTCATCAAGCCTGAAGATGCCTTAATAAAAATAAATAAAATAAACAAACAAACCCCAAACCACAGGGGATGGAGATTATTTTCAATGACAGAGGGATTTTATTTCTTTTTCTCTGGAAAGGTCACTGATTTGGGGAAGTCCAGGTTTGCTATGCAATCATCCTTCTCCTATCAGCAGTTTTAAGCGCCGACAGCAAAGGATCCAACAAATTTCGTTTTAAAGCTTTCTTAATCAAGTACTACTACTCTGTAAACCTAGCTCTGTAGGTTTTGTTAAAGAAACTAGATTTTCAAGGAACGTTTGTATCGTTCATGTAAGACTGTTCATGCAATGTCCACCAGAACATAGTACTATCATGAAAAGGCCTGCCTTAATTATCCAAAACACTTCACCTTCTTCATTGCTCATATACACTCCTTACTTCCTGTACTAATGTGATGCATGAAACTCCAGATAAGCAGATGAAGAGCACTGTAAGATGCTTATTTTACTAAACTGACGACCAGGCACCTCATTACTGAAGAAAACCCAGGTAAGAGCCACACAAGATTTATTCATTATGCAGTGCAGCAGTACAATGTTGCAACACTAAATTTAAAGACTGCCAAAAAGCAAAACCAACAGCCTAGAGTAAGGTACACTTGTGTCTTCACACACAGTGAGAGTTAAATACTTAAACTGTTACAGACCAGATAATTTGAAAGGGATTAAAAGTGTCATTTGAGCTGCAGAAGTGTGTGCAGCATGTTTAATTATTTATGAAATCCTATAGCTCTTAAAAGGGGAAAGTAATACACCTCTAGCACAGGTTACTAAAAACAACCTCAGATTTGGGATAATCTTTCACTAGAGGCACAATAAATTTCAGAACAGGCTGAGTGTACATGTCTACTTAAAAACATTCTCTTTACAACAATCAGAGTAAAAGATACTCAAACCTTAACCAGAACAGTTCTGGGGTTCTATTACAATGAACCCTTAGGTTACAAGGGTAAGGGACTACTACTCTCTCCACAAACACAGAGCTAACTGGCTTCTTAAAGATTATACTACACATCTCTCCTACCATGTTACCTTCAGTTTCCTTCTTTCCTTCCCGGCCTCACCAGTGCCTTTCCAGCTGTAATACTTCCATTTGACTAGATCTCATTCACATGCCCTTTTTTATCCGCCAGTAATTGGTCTGCCAGACATAATACATGCTGCAGTTGCCTCCAGGCTAAGCATTTCCAAATTAGCTAGCCAAAAGGTGCATAACCATTGGCCAAAGCCAGTGAGGGAGAACTGGTAATCATTTCTTCTTTTTCTATAAGCTGGAACAGGAGTCAGTATGCCTCCTCCGTACTTGGCTCCAGCTTTCATGAGAGTTTCAAGTACTTGATATCCCTCTAGCTCACTTAATTTTGACTTAAATTGACCAACAACACAGGCAGATGAATGATGCAGAGCAACTATACAACCGTTACACTCTTGGGAAACAAGGTTAAAACAATTTTTTCATAAGAATTAGCAAGCTTAACAATGTTTTAAATTAGCAATAACTTAATAATTGCTCTTAAATGAGAAGAAGTGCAGGTAACAAAGTCAAGATCTATTCTACACAATTTTCTTGAACTCTTATTTTCAAAATGAAAAACTTGATAATATCACTATTTAGTCAATTAAAGGAAACAGATATAGAACATATTAGCCAATTTCATAGTATTGTAAACACAGGATAAACAACTAATGAAGAGCAATAGGAAAGTTCTTACTGTCCATTCACATAAATGGGAAATAACAGTTTTGTATTACTTTCTGCAAGACGCTTTCCTCTTCATGTTCTATATTATTTAAGAACACATACTTTCAATTATCACTTTTTGCAGAATCTTTTATAATTCAGTTCTAACCTGCAACAGGAGAGGTATAAAGGTTTCTATCTCCAAAATCTGAGCAGACTCTTCCATTAAGATGTTGTCATACTGAGAAAGAAAGAGTGAAGAAATGTTTATCAACCAAGTAATACAAATGAATGCTGTTAATCAGCCTGTCAAAATGAAGCACTAATCAATCATTCAGGTAATTACAGATTTTCTAAGGGTGGGACAGTGATAGCAGCATTTTACTTTATAGGCAGGGCAATAGCGTACTAAAAAAAAAAAAACCAATGCCAGAGGGTAAAATCCTACTACATCAATGGTAAATCTATCTGTACCAATCGGGGCTTATCTGCAGAAACAATCCATGACTGAACCGCACTATAGGCTTCTCATATACCATAACCTCTCCTCAAGAGAAAAGCTTTCTGCAGTGGGACAAATTAAGTTGGTGGACTTGCACTGGAGCAATTCTGTGATGCAAAATTGTGCACTTTAGTAGGTAAATAATACTGAAAGAAAGTTGGTGAGCTGGGAGGTTTATGTTGCGCATTTGTCAGATATGTCTGCAGCAAATAAATAACTATAGATAACACTGCAGTGTGAAAAGAGCACTGCATCATAGATCTTTTTCTCAAAGCATTTATTTTTTGGGTAAATGATGTTATGAAGGCTGTGTTTCTCTCAATTCCGCCTGTATTTTATTACTCATTCTCCCAATTCTGCCTTTATTTTATTACTCAATCTTATCACTGCAGTTCATTATCTAATAAGGCAAAACTATTTTTTTAAACCGGTGCAGTAGTAAGCATTTCAATACATACAATATCTTGAAAGTGCTCAACTTATGCAAATAACAGTTAAATTATTCTTCAATAAAATTATAATTAGAAATATACTAGTCAAAAGCAAAATTCAAAATAATCTAGCTGTCTACATTTAGGACAGATAAAAGGTTTATATAAGGAAAAAAAAATCTGTTAGTTTGGTATCACTAGCATCATTATTACCTTGAAACCTAATTCAACCAAGTCATGTCGTTTCAGAGCAGCATGAGTACAAGTCATGGCAATAATTTTTGCTTCTTTGACCAAGAGGTATTTGGATCTATCCAGGCCACTGCGGAGAAGTTCAAATGCTCTGAATTCCTACGGGGGAGAAAAAAATCCTTGAAAGTTAGAGTTATTGCTTATAACCATCTGCCTTAAGATGATTACATATAAGTAAATGTACGATAATCTGCTTACGTTACTGTTAGGTTATCTGATTAAAGGCAATTCACCGTAAATGCAGAGACCTGGTGAAGCTCAGAGGAACAGTGATAGGTGCAAGAACCGTAAAAACCTAACCAAGTGAAAGTGGAGCACATGGAATGGCTCCTTCCCAAAAATCACGTTAGAATGATGATAGATTATCATCCGTGGTGTAAAATAGGACAAAACCACTCAACAGAGAAATTCTCACCTGAATGCCTTACAAGCTATGAGGATGGCTGCCTAAAGGCATATACTACTTATTATAGGATGTAGGGGAATGACAATTTCTGGGATGGGATTAGGTGGATTCAGTTACTTCTAACAGTCACATGCTTTACCTCAAGCTGAGTGAATATTTTCTTAACATGTCTAAAACACCCTTCAGCAATTTCCATATCTTCTTCATAGGATTTGCCTTTGAAAATTGGTTGAGGAGCATTCGCAAAATACTGGTGAAAAGGAAAGAAACTGGAGACATCTGAAACATCAGGCAGTTTTCCACCTTTAACTTTCACTTTACTGATATATTCTTCCCAACGAGACATTACCTGCGGTAAACAAAAAATGTCATATTGAATTTTTAACATAATAAAGAAAATCATTAAATAAGCGTTATTTTGCACACATATGCATACTACTTTAATTCGGAATGGCTTCATAAAACTATTCAAAGTAAATAGACTGCCAAGGTTAAATCATAGGTTAAATCATAACAAATTATGCTTTTTTATCACTAAAGCAAGGCATGTTTAAATTAGCATTTGATTTTGCATTGGGAGGACACTTCTGAAGCGCATCCCCTCCTTGTTTCCACTTATAATAGTTTGAATTCCAAGCTGGATTCCTTTGGGAAGATGCTAAACCAGCAGATGAACGCTAGTAAAGTGCCTAATAACCATTTAATGCATAGAACCACACCTGAGCTAGTCCAAAGTAGCCTCTATAAAACATATATACAGTGTGGGCACCTGGTCCTCAGTACCACTCTGTAAGTCTACTCCTTTTGAGACACATACTTGTGTGTCTCAATGTTGCTAATGTATATAAAGCAACTGAAAAGTGAAAAAAAATTCACTCTTTTGTATCCGATTTCCTGCTGGCATTTAGCACCATAAAAGCTTTCTAGCAGGAATATAAGTAGCTGCTCTAAAGCTTGTCAAAAATACAAGGCAGCCCACAGTTTTTCCTATCTGGAGGGGAAATTCCTGGCTAGAAACTTTGCCAATAGTCATTAAAAAAAAAACAGGAATGCTAGCCTTTCAATTCATGAATCATCAAGGCAGGATTTAAAACAATAGCAATACAAATAAGTAACATTATAATTATAGTTTTAGTTGTTATTGTATTTTGAATCATCAAAGAAAATGGAGGTTTTTTGGACTTAATTTTGAAAACTTCAGTCCACTTCTTACAATGTGTTTCATAACATACTGAGGTCATATACTCTCTGCAGAAGTATTTCAGCCCTTACTTGGTATAGGAAGAAGTGGCCCGCTGTTTCACAAGTGTAAGAAACATCTCCTGGGACTCCAAGACTCTCTTGCAATCGCCCAACTTCTCGTAGAAGCTCTAGTCTTCGAGCGAGGACATAATTAACTCTTCCATACCTACAGAACGGATAAAACGTAACACAATTTGTTAAATTCAAAACAGTTTTTCCTGAACATCACAACGTGAGAGATCACACACACACACGACACAACAACTACCCAGTCTCAAAAAAATGAGAATTTGCTACCTGCTGACTACTACTTCAGAGGAGCCTGAAAAATTTAAAAAACCATGCAAGAACCATTACTCTAGAAAAAGTTACTTTGATTGCGTCACTTCACCAAGAGCTTCATAGTTATTATTATTTTATGCTCATAACATACCTGTAAAGCAGAAAAATATTATTTCTAATATGCAGGTTGGAAACTATGGCACACAAGCATATACAAATTATGCAAGTCTATGGACCTTCATAAATGGAACGTCTACCCCAAGTTTCCGTACCCTAAGGCTAACTATCTTTGGCAACACACAAAATGCTTTGCAGTAATGCTTAGCCTCCCTTACTAGACAGGTTTGCATCCACACATAGAAGGCCCCTGAAGTACAAAAGCACAGCTGCCCACCAACTCCCCCTGACCCCGCTTTTTTCCCCCCCTTTACAGACCAGTTTCCCTCATCTGTGCACTCTCTCACATAGAAACAGTACCAAAAAACCCCATTTTCTCAAAGACAAAAAAAAAAAAAAAGAAATGGTATAGATGGTTGAAAGTAAAGAGACGAGAGAAACGGGACATTTTCTTTTACAAATACATATGTAAATAGAAGCTTAAATGAATAAAGGTTAAATTTCAAGTTCATATTAAACTTACTATTCATCAAATATGCTTTCTGAACTGGAAAAAAAAGGACACAATCCCTGGGAATCATAATGTGTTTCTTGTCTTATTTACAAAAATTAGAGTAGTTAAAGTTGGAGATTTTAATTCAGTAAGACGCAACTGAATATGATATTGTTTTAAAACTGGAAAAAATAAGTTCCTTCTACAGGAGCTATGACACTTATGACTCATGGAATGTTGAATAGGTTTTCTTCCTTCAACAAAATTCATCTATCATAATTACAAGTGACTTCAACCAATTTATTTCCACACTTCCAAGTGTCCTCTTATTCCTCACAATTCAAATCATATGCCCTGTTTTATGTATTCATTCAGGGCTAAAAAGAAATCACAGCTAAAGAAAATTTTTATGTTTCTTAAATGACAGTACCAGCTTAATCAGCTCCTCTCCACCTTATGTCCTTATACTACCCTCTCCTGCTTTGCTAGCAAAGAGAGCAAAAAAAGGAACAAGAGCCTTGCAAGTACTAAGAGTTGTTTAACTGGTATTGCTGCCCTTTCTAAAAGTATGAATTTAGAAGCAACCCTAAAACAAGCAAAAACTGAGACAAATAGGAAATAAACTTCTCTTCTTATAAACGTGCAGCCTACCTTTAAATACATTCCTCATCACACATCTTTCCCTCCCTAAATTTTCAGAACCTGTAGAACTTTGCAGTATTGTCCTGTACGTCTGGAGTTACTTTGAAAAAAAAACGACAATAGATAACAGAGAGTCTTTCAAAAAAAAAACTTTTAATGATTCGCATTAGTGTTCAAGGAATACATTAAGTCTTAGACACTACTAAATAAGTATGTGCCATGACATCATTTTATTAAGATTTCAGCTATTAAATTTCTGGAGTAATTTGACTATGTCAAAGCATTCAAACTGAAAAAAATACCAAAGTATTCCTTTTGCTAAATGAAACTCAACTACATATATTTGGGTAACTTCCAGTGGCTATATATAGTTTTTACTACAGTTTTTAAAAATCAAGGGATTGCTGTAATAATCCCATACTGGACAGTCCATTTATTTCGAATGCATGACCCTTACTCCTGCCTACATTTATGAATGTGTGTAATCCTACTGACATCAACTGGACCAACGTGTAACATAAAACATACAAATATTTACAAGAACAGGCTCTCAGTCTGTGTACTGATATAGGCTTGAAAGCTTTCCTTATGAAAGTATACTTCAAAATGTATTATTTACCAGTGACATAGAAGCAACTTTGCATTTAAGTGTTAAGGCTTATTTAAACTTTGCAATGGACTGAATAATATGCAATGTTCTGAAGAACTAAAAGCAGAAGGATTCATTTCACCTTTACAACTATGTATACCTTATTCAGCACGCCAGTAAAGGTGACAGTATATTTTCACAAAAAATTCTTAACTTAAAAACCTAATTATTCAACTTACTCTCACAAAACAAATCAACTCTGTAAAATGCATAACTGCCTAGCATATAGTAAACTTTTTTTTTCCCCCCCAAACGGTTGAATTTATAAACAAGCAACTGCCTGATTTTGCCTTTAGATTTTCAAGAGAGAAGGTAGCTTGCATACCGAACAACTAAAATGACCTAACCTTACATGAGAAACAAGGGCAGTGAGCACTACCTGGACTCAGTTATATGAGAAAGGTAAAGCTTGCCAAGGACAGCTCCTTGTTCATTTACATGGGAGGTAGAAGGGATTCAGCACACAAATTCAGCTACAATGCTTACACAAATCAGTTTATCATTAGCACCTCCTTCATGCTCACCTGCTGAAATCTTTCTCTGTCTCCAACTCCTCTTCTCCATGACCCAGACGCAGGAGGTGGCGCTCATCAATGTCTAGAGCCATGATTTTCTCAAACAGCTGGTTCAGAGCCTAAAGATTGACAAGAACAGGACAAAGTAGTTTTTAGAAGTTCAGAGGCTCTTGTAGAGAAAACTGAAGATGTACTGGTAAGCCAGCTAGGATGGATGCCTATTTTGGTAGCAACTGAACCCAAAGCAAACATGAAGGTAACGCTGAAATTAGAGCTCTCAAACTTGATGAAGGGAAAATCAGCCTACTGAAACTGTTGTCTTCACATAATTTATATAACAATTAAAAATTCTTTCAATCATCTAATTTAGTTCAAAAAAGTCATAGTTTATATAGCTATTAATCTATAAAACTGTCTCAAGAAATCCACGTTGCAAACACGCCTTTTGTTAGATGACTTTGAACCTATTCTGTTTGACTTTCACTGTACATTGGAAGAGTGCTATCCGGTACTGGAGGTGCCTTGTCTCCATTTCAAATGGATAAATGAATTTTGCCCACCTAAACTTCAAGGTGTGCTATGTCTTGTGACTTAAACACTTCACTTCTAACAGTTTAATATCAACTGCCCAACTCAGATATTTTTCAAAGAGTAAGTAGTAAGCACTGGATCAGCCAGTTATGTAATTTTAAGGATAAACATCAGTTAGCTTCACTTGTACTTCTAGTCACCTGGAAGTCATACTAACACATTGAAGTACAGCATCAAAGTACAAGGAATGAACCCTGCTGAGACACAGAGTTTATTTACCCAAGTACGGTTTCAAGTTAATGTGTTCATATACCTTTTTTCTGGCCAACAAAGTCTCCCACCTGCCTCAAAAATTAATTCTTCACTTTTCTGCCTAATAGACATGCTCTCAACCCTTTCTTTCAACTCTGCTACCTCTTACTCACCCCTGGCCCATGTAGCTTGGCGCATATTATTCCAGGCTGTAGCTCATTACCAAAAGGAACGGGGCAAGCCCCATCAGCCATTCTTTGGTTGACAGCATGAACACCTGATCTCACTCTGAAGGACAAAGATTATGTGTTTTCCAAACGATATGTTCAGTTAAAACAGCTGATAAAGGATAGGCTGCTTAGGAAGACTGGGAAAGAGAGACACCTAGTTTTCTAGAAAAGATGAGTTTACAAATAAATTCTTCTAAAGCAGATGCAGCTTTAACATAAGAATCTTTAAGATTTTTTCTATCGTAAAGGTGTTGTCTTTATCTCTTGTGAAAGGGAAGTACGCACGCAGTTACAGAAGACATGCTACTTTTTATGTCTTCACTTGGAAGCGTAAAGCACAGAGCAACTAGAGACCCAGAAAGCTAGCTAGCAAAAATCAATCCAGACTGGCATGCACGTGGCCAACGTGTAACTGTGAGAACCATGCTGACACATATTCAAAATACTTTCTAATTTCCACCCCCCAAGCAGCTAAATATAACAAAAACATCTCATAAATCTCTCAGAACTACGAACCTCAAATTAAAAAATGTAATCTCACATTATAAAGCTGGCACAAATCGCACACAAACCAACTCAAGTTTTCATTGCTAGAGACAACTGCAATCATGAAACTACTAATTTCAATATCTGCTGTTCTTAATTTTAACTACATGAAAATTTTATGTATGGCTCTTACTTTACCTGATTAGAGTGGGTAACTATAAGTGTTCGCTGTTCTGGGAAATTATGATAAAGATTGGATATTATCTGGACTGCTACATCAGTTTTTCCAGTACCAGGTGGACCTACCACCTAATAAATAAATAAACAAATAAATAAGCAAGCAAATAAACAACATCCTCTCCCTCCTCCTCCCCCACATCATTTATGAGAATATTGCACAAGACAAATATAGCTTATCAGGAAAAAAGCAATCTGACAAGACACAGACATTGGGCACTAATGACAAAAATCTTGTGTTTCATCTACGATTACTAGCTAGCTTCTGTAAACTTCCAAAATACATGCAGTATACTGTGAAAGACTTAACCCAATGCTAATGCATACACTGATGAGGAGTTGCTAGTGGATAGGCAGCACTTCACTGAAAGCGCCTGTGGTCAGAAGATCTCATTAAGAATGGTAAAGTTTACAGCCCTTTGCAGAACTTTATCAAATATAACTTACTTGCAAAACAAACCTATAGTTTTGATTTGGTTTACATTTTCTTAGGTATAGAAGTCAGCAGGATTATAAAGAACTGTAAATTAAATTCATAAGAAAGCAGGAAACATAGCTCCTTGAAGACCATTCAATGACTTTCATTTCCTTTAATGGAGTTGGATCAAGCTTAAAATGATGCAACTAATTTAAAACAGTCAAAACGACAGACACAGCAATTGCTCTGCAGTCTAAAACTAGTGATTCGACCACTCGAAAAAGTAAGTTCAGTTGTGGTGGAAAGCCTTTAGCCATTGAGACATAGGAGACAATTGCGCAGAGATCAGATTTTTTTTTTTTTGAGGTTTTTGAGGTATGATTTTGTGAAGAAGGGAGGACACTGAACCTCTGTATGTTAATTTCTCATGTTTCTAACAAAATTAATAGAGTACGTACCCCCACGGATGCTACAAAAAGGACTGGTACTTCATTGAATGTACCTCAAACCAGGATCAAATAAGAACTTATAGTGTAGAATCCTTAAAAATATTCTTACCATAGTTAGCCCAGGTTGCATTCCTG